TTTTTCTAGCTACCACTTCAACTGTTAATGGAACAACCATCAAATTTGAACCCCTCATAGCTTCGGATACAATGATGAAGAATGGATCTCAAACAACGATAAGCACCAAACACATGTGCATCACTGCTATGAAAGCTTATGAGGGCAAGAGTCTTGAGGTGCGTTCATTTACAGTTTTTTTCAAAATAAGAGTTTTCATCCATCAATAAATCTTGAGCTTGCTTTCTGCAGTTTGAAGCTAATATTTTCATTTTTCTCCAGGCTCAACGAGTTTAATGAATGCACTGTCTTTTTTGAACCTAGTCATAGAGATTAGCGGTAGTCTTATGTCGAAATGATTAGTCCACCATAAACTCATAAACCGTTAGTTGTGCTGACTCATGAAGTGATGAATCTGCGCGAATATGACAGTCAACCAGAAGTGACATTATCGTTCTAAAATTGAACTAGTGCACAAATCGCGATGTTGTGGTTAACAAGTCAGTCGCTGTTGTCTACTCAGGAAGAGTACGCCTTTGTGAAATGAAGTGATAGATTTCAAGTTTTTGTGCAAACTTGATGCAAGATCGTTGACGTAATTTATGGATTTTACATACAAACCTTAATTACGTTGGAATATCTACTTTAGGAACTGCGTATCGATGATTACATAGCGAATCGAAAGGCCCCAACAGCAGGTGGTGGTCTGTTTGGAAGCTCCACCCCAGCAACTGGTACAAGTATATTTGGCAGTAGTGCCGCAAAGCCATCTTTGTTTGGATCATCAACTAGTGAGTGCTTTGGCTCATCAAAGATTAAATGATCTACTTCCTCGGAAATTGCGAGGGAAGCTTCTTTATGTTTTCAGTATGATGTAATCTCTTTTTCCACAGTTACTTTCTTTCACAAGCAAAATCCACTTTTAATCATGCTTACTTCTCAGCCACATCATCGCCATTTGGAGCTACTCAGGGCACATCTTTATTTGGACAGAACAATAATGCGACACAGGTATTCATTCCAATTCTTCAATACCGTGTAACCTTTTTTGAAACCATTTTAGGGGTCATCATTGTTTGGTAGCAAACCGACTGGCAGTATCTTTGGTTCTCCAGCCACTTCGACAGCATCGACCGGATTTGGAACGACTGGTGGAAGTCTTTTTGGAAATACTGGTACTTCGGTAAGAGTAAGCGCTTTCACAGGTTAAGGATCCAGCTTTCGATAGGTAATGTCGAGAGTGTTTCAGACATTTGGCACAACTCAACCAACTGGTTCTTTGTTCGGCAGCTCTACATTTGGTTCCACACCAGCTACAACTAGTGCATTCAGCTTTGGAAGCACTACAAATACGGTATGACGAGGAACTTTAGTAATAAAGGATATAGGATCTTCAATAAGTTTAATTAGACAAGTTCACCATTTGGACAAACTGCAACGTCAACTGGTGGAGGTCTGTTTGGTTCGAACACTGCTACAAGTACAGGGAGCGTTTTTGGAAAACCCGCAGGGACTAGCTTGTTTGGAGGG